GTCAAACAGTGTCTTTAAGGATCGTTGCATACAACATCGCTATTGGGAGAAAATAGAAGGTAAGGATGTCATACAGTGTTTTTATGGATCTTTGCATAAAACATCGCTATTGGGAGAAGATAGAAGGTTAGGGGGAAATATTGTGATAACGATCTCTGTACACAACATTGCTTTTGTGAGAAAATACATTTTTCATGTGACACTGTGATAATTTAAAGCTTTTTGGAGAACATAGAAGGTACATGTGACAAACTGACTGTTACTAATTGTGAGCATCAAACTAAAGCTCTGTACTTTTGTGTATCAATCGTGTCAACAAGATCATGATTTTTCTGTTACCGGAGCATTGGTTGTAGAATGTTGTGTATCAATCATGTCAACAAGATCATGATTTTTCTGTTACTGGAGCATTGGTTGTAGAATGTTGTGTATCAATCATGTCAACAAGATCATGATTTTTTTCTGTTACTGGAGCATTGGTTGTAGAAGGTTGTGTATCAATCATGTCAACAAGATCATGATTTTTCTGTTACTGGAGCATTGGTTGTAGAAGGTTGTGTATCAATCGTGTCAACAAGATCATGATTTTTCTGTTACTGGAGCATTGGTTGTAGAAGGTTGTGTATCAATCATGTCAACAAGATCATGATTTTTCTGTTACTGGAGCATTGGTTGTAGAATGTTGTGTATCAATCGTGTCAACAAGATCATGATTTTTCTGTTACTGGAGCATTGGTTGTAGAATGTTGTGTATCAATCGTGTCAACAAGATCATGATTTTTCTGTTACTGGAGCATTGGTTGTAGAATGTTGTGTATCAATCGTGTCAACAAGATCATGATTTTTCTGTTACTGGAGCATTGGTTGTAGAATGTTGTGTATCAATCGTGTCAACAAGATCATGATTTTTCTGTTACTGGAGCATTGGTTGTAGAAGGTTGTGTATCAATCATCTCAACAAGATCATGATTTTTCTGTTACTGGAGCATTTGTTGTAGAATGTTGTGTATCAATCATGTCAACAAGATCATAATTTTTCTGTTACTGGAGCATTGGTTGTAGAATGTTGTGTATCAATCGTGTCAACAAGATCATGATTTTTCTGTTACTGGGCATTGGTTGTAGAAGGTTGCACTTGAAACATCTACAAATATTTCATAACAATAGACATAATAATACAAAACTCAATATATTTATTTTCATTACTAGCTCATATATATTCTTAAATGTGAACAACATATTTAACAAACGATAACATTCAACATTTGATAAGGATAATGAGGTATGGCCTATTTAATATATACTTGATATACTTGATATATATATTACTGAGAAAATAGTGGACAATGTATCAAACATGGATAATTATATTCATCGTGGCAATATCATCCACACTATATTCACACACACACGTCACACCGATACACACTCATACATATACTGGAGGAATATTGTGGCATGCAGGGTTAACCAACCATCAAAGAAAACACAGGTATCCAATACCAGAGGAATATTGAGACATGCGGCTTAAGCAAACATCAAACAAGCAAAACACTGGTATCCAATACCGGAGGAATATTGTGACATGCAGCGTTAACCAACCATCAAACTAACAAACACTGGTATCCAATACCAGAGGAATATTTCGACATGCGACGTTAACCAACCATCAAACTAACAAACACTGGTATTCAATACCGGATGAATATTGCGACATACGGCGTTAACCAACCATCAAACTAACAAACACTGGTATCCAATGCCAGAGGAATAGTGCGACATGCGGCGTTAACCAACCATCAAACTGACAAACACTGGTATCCAATACCGGAGGAATATTGCTGCATGCGGCGTTAACCAACCATCAAACTAACAAACACTGGTATCCAATACCGGAGGAATATTGAGACATGCGGCGTTAACCAAACATCAAACTAACAAACACTGGTATCCAATACCAGAGGAATATTGCGACATGCGACGTTAACCAACCATCAAACTAACAAACACTGGTATCCAATACCGGAGGAATAGTGCGACATGCGGCGTTAACTAACCATCAAACTAGCAAACACTGGTATCCAATACCAGAGGAATAGTGCGACATGCGGCGTTAACCAACCATCAAACTAACAAACACTGGTATCCAATACCAGAGGAATAGTGCGACATGCGGCGTTAACCAACCATCAAACTAACAAACACTGGTATCCAATACCAGAGGAATAGTGCGACATGCGGCGTTAACCAACCATCAAACTAACAAACACTGGTATCCAATACCAGAGGAATAGTGCGACATGCGGCGTTAACCAACCATCAAACTAACAAACACTGGTATCCAATACCGGAGGAATATTGCGACATGCGGCGTTAACCAACCATCAAACTGACAAACACTGGTATCCAATACCAGATGAATATTGTGGCATGCAGCGTTAACCAACCATCAAACTAACAAAACTCTGGGATTCAATACCAGAGGAATATTGTGGCATGCCTACAAACAAAACAACATGGGTATCTACTCTGTAGGCAATACATAATTACTATGACACAAGGAAGCGTATATCTCTTACATTAGGTATACCTAGGTGCGATCTCGCTATTTACAACCAGCACCGGTGCATGTTAAATATGGCTGGTGCAGGTTACCATCAGTAACAGGTTGCACTCGGTGCAGGTAACAATATATCTTCCAGCATCTTATAGCTGCCATCATGTGTTTTAATTAGGAAGTTAATGACTGTAAGTGATACGTTTCCCTCCGCATGACTTGCTACAAGCATAAACATGTGTGTACTCTTACATCAGCTACGTATGAAAGTGATCAGAATATAAGTGAGTCAGTGAGTTTAGTTTTACGCCGCACTCAGCAATATCCCAGCTATATGGCGTTGGTCTGTAAATAATCGAGTCTGGACCAGACAATCCAGTGATCAACAGCATGAGCATCGATCTGCGCAATTGGGAACCGATGACATGTGTCAACCAAGTCAGCGAGCCTGACCACCCGATCCCGTTAGTCGCCTCTTACGACAAGCATAGTCGCCTTTGATCAGAATATAAAGATTGATAAATGAAGGTAGGAGCCCGTTCTTAATTCAGTGGCATTGATTGAACATGGACATTTGGTGAGTTGATGTCAGTCTGACAATCTATCAGTTTGGAATCTCTCCCTAGGCCATGAGTTTAGTTCATGAGACGATCGCTTTCCTAAAAACATCACTAATCCTGTACAGTCTGCCTGCATAGTGAGGATAAACCCTCATGGCATGGCCAATGCTGATGATTTCAAGAGGGGGGATGGGGGTGAGTCATCAGTTTTGTACATAGAAATATTATGCAATAAATATCATGTAGAAACAAATATCATGAAGTGGAACATATTCACATATGTGAAACAAATATTACAACAAATTAGAATAAATTATATTTAATCTAGAATTGTGTCGGGTATTACTGAACAAGCGGCTATCATCGAACAAAATTCTATTTCCGTATATTTTTCTCAATTTGCTGGTATTTACAGCTTTTTCTGAGCGTGTAGCGTCAGAGCTTTCAGAGAATCTTACAGTTCATTTTCACCCGTTTCCACGAGAGTTTCAATAGTCATTACAAAAACTTCGGGACATAAGGAAGAGGAGGAGAGGGTGTGCCCGCACCCCTGCCAGTTATATACAGGGAAATACAACAGAACATGTCTTTCACCCTCAACACTCTCACTACACGGAAAACATATACATTCACATTTGTATATCTGCCGGTTTCCATGCAGAGGAGCAGTACCTGATCTGAATCTGAGGAAGGCAGAGCGGTATGAACGGGGCATACTCATACTCACGTAACTTTCACAGCCATACACATCCTTAAACATTCCATGCGATCGTAGTGTATTACCTCCCGTTCTACCGCTTGGCTTGGTAACAACTCCTACCAACCACTCACATAGTTCTACATACAAATATCTCGCACACACTTACATACACGTTTAACACTAACATCAGCTTCCACACTCAGGCCCCATTCATTTAACCTTGCTTTAATTCGAACATTCCAATTTCTCACACGTCCACTCGCACATCACACCACATAAAAACATACTTGTTTATTCTGTGTAGCTATATGGCGGTGGTCTGTAAATAATCGAGTCTGGACCAGACAATCCAGTGATCAACAGCATGAGCATCGATCTGCGCAATTGGGAACGGATGACATGTAGTCAACCAAGTCAGAGAGCCTGACCACCCGATCCCGTTAGTCGCCTCTTACGACAAGCACAGTCGCCTTTTGTGGCAAGCACCGGTTGCTGAAGACCTATTCTTCCCCGGATCTTCACGGGTACCCCAGATAGCAGTCAAAGGTAGTTAATCTCACGACTTTGGTGAGAGGGCACTCTGCTGACTGCCCCACCTTGCACGTCATGTATCAGGCACCATTATGTTATTTAGTTACTAAAATTTCAGTCACATAAATCAATGTTAGCCGATACTAAAAGTGCCATAAGGACCAAATGAATGTTAGTCTTAAACAACACGTTTCTTGGTTCTCTTAATTGGACCATGAACATGATTTTTAAAAATCTGTAACAATTCCGTTATTATCACTACTGTCCATGTTGAAATAAATAATTTGCATGAAAAATTACCCCTCAACCCCCATAAGAAAATACATACATGTCAGTTATGTAAAAGATCAAATAATAATTACTACAGAGCTACAATTTGTGCAGAGCATGGGCGATAGTAGGAATGTGTGGCAATTAGTAATATTTTAAACCCAAATAAACGAATCGTAAAAACGCATACCTTACCATCAACCGATAAATGCTATAATAATGTTATAATGTTCATGATTTTGCACCAATGTATGCGTTTATCTTTTGAAAAGGTGACAAATTTGGTCTTCAAACAAATGACGAGAAGTCGATAGAATGATCGTCTGTAATGTAATAGTAAATCGTGAAATATATTCATCCTATTTTTTTATATGTAAGAAACGTATCTTAAAACGTATCTTTTTATCAATACAAATGTACATGTATTATCATATTTGCTGCTTTTTATACAGGAACAGTACTCGAGTATCAGGGTTATCCCGAAGAGATAAAAAAATATCAGTTGTAACATAGCGTACCTTGACTTGTTTGGAATTTGGGACTGTTTGGAATAGCCCAACATGACTGTTTGGAATAGCGTGATAAGGGTGTTCGGAATAGCCCGACATAACTGTTTGAAATAGCCTGACAAAGGGTGTTTGGAATAACCCGACATTGCTGTTTGAAATAGCACGACATGACTGTTTGGAATAACCCGACAAGGGTGTTTGGAATAGCACGACGTGGCTGTTTGGAATAACCCGACATGGCTGTTTGGAATAGTCTGACATGGCTGTTTGGAATAGTCTGACATGGCTTTTTGGAATAACCCGACATGACTGTTTGGAATAACCTGACATGGCTGTTTGGAATAGCCCGACATGACTGTTTGGAATAACCCGACAAGGGTGTTTGGAATAGCACGACATGACTGTTTGGAATAACCTGACATGGCTGTTTGGAATAGCCCGACATGACTGTTTGGAATAACCCGACAAGGGTGTTTGGAATAGCACGACATGGCTGTTTGGAATAACCCGCCAAGGGTGTTTGGAATAACCCGACATGGCTGTTTGGAATAGTCTGACATGGCTGTTTCGAATAACCCGACATGACTGTTTGGAATAGCACGACATGGCTGTTTGGAAAAGCCCGACATGGATGTTTGGAATAACCCGACAAGGGTGTTTGGAATAGCCCGACATGACTGTTTGGAATAACCTGACATGGCTGTTTGGAATAGCCCGACATGACTGTTGGAATAACCCGACATGACTGTTTGGAATAGCACGACATGGCTGTTTGGAAAAGCCCGACATGGATGTTTGGAAAAAACCCGACAAGGGTGTTTGGAATAGCCTGACATGACTGTTTGGAATAACCTGACATGACTGTTTGGAATAGCCCGACATGACTGTTGGAATAACCTGACATGGCTGTTTGGAATAGCACGACATGACTGTTTGGAATAGCCTGACAATTGTGCTCTGAATAGCCCAACATGACAGTTTGGAATAGCCCGACATGGGTGTTCCGAATAGCCTGAGAAGGGTGTTCAGAATAGCACGACATGACTCTTTGGATTAGCCCGACATGACTGTTTGGAATAGCACGACAAGGGTGTTCGGAATAGCCTGAGAAGGGTGTTCAGAATAGCACGACATGACTCTTTGGATTAGCCCGACATGACTGTTTGGAATAACCCGACAAGTGTGTTCGGAATAGCCTGAGAAGGGTGTTCGGAATACCCTGACAAGGGTGTTTGGAAGAGCCCGACAAGGGTGTTTGGAATAGCCTGACATGACTGTTTGGAATAGCCCAAAATGGCTGTTTGGAATAGCCCGACATGGGTGTTTGGAATAACCCGACATGACTGTTTGGAATAACCCAACATGGCTGCTTGAAATAACCCGACATTACAGTTTGGAATAGCCTGACAAGGTGTTTGGAATAACCCGACATGGCTGTTTGGAATAGTCCGACATGACTGTTTGGAATAACCTGACATGACTGTTTGGAATAACCCAACATGGCTGTTTGAAATAACCCGACATTACTGTTTAGAATAGCCTGACATGACTGTTTGGAATAACCCGACATAGCTGTTTGGAATAACCCGATAAGGCTGTTTAGAATAACTCGATAAGGCTGTTTGGAATAATCCAAGAAGGGTGTTTGGACGAGTCGACAAGATTTAAAGAAAGAAGAAAATTTGATAATGTGAAATATCTTATAGCAAAATGACTGGTAGACAAGTCTTACTTGCCTTGATGTGTATCTGATTCCCGGTTCTTTGTGAGTATTGCTTATTGCTTCTTATAATAAAACACAACAGGAATTAGGCGGGGTATGGTGTTAGCTGTTCGGTAATACCCTGCACCGATCTACACAAGAAGGGGGAATCCTGCTTGAATGATTTTTCACATTTTGTCGAAACACTCGATTCTGAGTCGTTTCCTCAGAGCTTTCACTGTGACATATTCACATCAACTACTGTGATAATTTCAATATATGAATAATTGTGTGTGGATTCAAAACCCTTTTTTCGGTATGAAAAATCAATAAAAGCTAAAAAAATCTGGTTTTGAAACAATTTTTACATTTTGTGTGTTCACTTCTTCTGTGTCCCTTGACTTGCATCACACGTCATTAGAATCATTTACTGTCGGACAATTACATCGTCTACAGCAATAGTTTCATCATGCTAATATTCATGTGAGTATTTAAAATGTTTTCCAGTCTCAGGAGAACCCAGGAAAGTGGTGAAAGCAGACATCCGAAGAACTTGGTTGTATTTTGTACACAACAAACAGAACACAAACCGAACCCTTCTATGTCCGCTTCACTCACTTTCCTTGAAACAGTTGATAGAAATATCTCCGTTACACAGATAACTTCACACAACCTCATGGCTGACTTCACACAGTCTCATGGCCGATTTCACAGTTTCATGGCCAGTTAATTTTCTATTCCAGCGCTTGGTAGATGAGAGTCTTCTTTGTGTCAGTCATGTCGATGTCTTCCCCGCTGATCAGACTCATGGACGTAGTGTGGCCAGAATACCGCGACCCAACACCGAACATGGGGACGAGTGGCTCACTGAACTCAACATTATACTTGACTACAACAACCTGTCTGTCCAGGTCAATGAATGCCACTCGTCCCCTCCCCACATCCAGTACAACGCCATAGTGGAGGGTGGCCTGTGTGCCGGGAGTGAGGGACATGGTGTTCTGGTGACACTCGCCCCACTCCCCCTCCCTACACACCGTGGTACAGATCCTCTCCCCGTGTCTGACACATCTCTCTACACGGACACACCAGGAGCGGCGCTGTACAGAAACATACCACCCACTGTCCACCCGTCCTGCCTCACAGAGTCCCATCTCCAGGACTGTCGGGTACAGCTCATCATCCACCCTCACCCAGGTTTCTGTCTCCCAGTATCTGGGGATGGTGGGTAGAGGTGTGAGGGTGGAGGAGGATGGAGGAAGGGGGATGGGGGAGCTACAGGTCCCCCTGTACTTCTGTAGTCTGTTCTGCCCCACATCCCGTGTGTCGGGCGGCGAGTTAACTAGCTGACCGTCTGTAGTTACGTGGCACCAGTCAGTGTTCGCCCGAGCCGCGTCCAGGTGGAGTTTAGGACCTGGAAATAAACATTGTATTTGTTGTGTAGCAAGTTTATTTCACTGTTTGTCACAAACTGAGACACAGAAAGATATTTACTAAAATATCGGCTGATTGTGGATTGTTTCCAAACAGTGCGCTGAATGTTCGTCTGTGTTTTTCATCCGTGTAGAATATCTCCCACTACTGAGCTATATTAGCGCGCTAATTATTACGTAAAAATATTACTACGAGAATTCAAAATGCATTTCATTAAGAAACAAGTGGATTAGTTTACAGAAAAACGTAATATAAAAGAATTTTTAGTACACTTCTGATTTACCCCCATTGTTGTGATATCTGCCAGACGTGGACGATGTTCGGGAGTAAAATACGATCTCAGTAAGTGAATTTCTCAACAAAAGTGTTTGTGTGTAGATTCTATATGAATCTGTCACATAATATAAACAAATAAACTTAACAGTATCGTGTTTTAGAGTAGTTTTGACATTTCTGTGTTCATCATACACCACATGAACAGGTAACTTCTATGTCCGCTTCAGTCACTTTCACAGTTACACCGTCAGTCAGTGTGTCGCGATATGTTTACTAAAGCTGGTCAGAGATGGATGTCCAAACTTTGACAACTTTCTACGTTATTCAAGTGTTGAAAGAAGCAGTTCTATGGTTTTATAATTGTACTGACATCAGTAACGCCGACAGATGCGTTTTACAGCAATGAAGACGGTTGAGGAAATAGAACACATGTTTTACTTCGTTCTGTTGTTTGAACATTTCACTTTTATCAGGGATGGAAAGTTGAATAGGCTGTGTGAAATTAACTCATAACCCAATATATTTGAAATATATTTTACATGAACTGGTTACAACTATGTCCACTCTTTCACTGATAGACGGTCACAGTCTCGTTGAGGTCGCGCACTGCGCGCGCGCGCGTGTGTGTGCGTGTGTTTAGTTTGCCGATGGTATTACACACTATCACAAGTGATGTTTATCAAATTCACGCTTGTTTAAATCTCGTAGACAAAACAGACTCGACTTTGCGAGCGAGCGAGTTTAGTTTTACGCCACTTTTAGCAATATTCCAGCAATATTACGACGGGGGGACACCAGAAATGGTCTTCACACTTGTACCCATATAGGGAGTCGAACCCAAGTTTTCAGTGTGACAAGCGAACGCTTTAACCACTAGGCTTCCCACCACCAGACCTGACTTTGACTTGAGGTCCGACCGCGACTAGAGCACCCGATTTTCGTTATTAGTTATTTGGTCTACAGAATCTATCTTTTGGACCATGCCTTGTCTATGAACATCATCGAGATTTATTTATCTAAATGCTGATGATACACCTTTACTGAACATTATTGTTTTAGAAAAGTAAAAATGTGCGAATTTAGAATTATCAACATCGACACTAAGTCTTTTAATTTATTCAAAGTGAAAAAGTACCTGGTACCAGTAGAACAGTTCTCCTCACTCCAGGGAACTAACATGAAGTGGATACATAAACCACAAGCAGGAATGCCCTCGCTGTTTAAGAATATATTTTCCTAACCTGTGGCACGACAATTAACAAGTTCTTTTTTCTAGAATTCTCATTTCTGAAAATAGTCGAAGTGGGTGGACATCAATAAACTAATTGCGAACTAACGACTTAAATGTCTGGGCAAAACATTTCGAGAAATTATCGATTACTACGTACAGAAGACTCTGTTTGAGAATAAAGATGTGAGCTGTCTCCCAAAGTTGCAGATTGGCTGTTCCTTGGTGGAATAAGCAGTATGAGCTATCTATTACCTATAAAACTGAACTTGTTTCAGAACATGTGCAAATACGCATGCACAGTTTTAGAAAACCCTCTAGAATAACAATCTACTGGGTTTACACTACGTATCCTTCTCATCTAGCAGGCACGTACTTCTTCAAATCTTTGGTAATGATGGGGAGGTTCAAGGCCGGAAACTAAATTCGCGACGTTTCTCGGTTGAATGAGCGAAGCCTTCGCGGTACTTGCAATACAATGTTATGGCTGAATGAACATAGCCGTCTCACTCAGAGGCTCACACAAATTACAAGTAAATCAGGATCAACGTGAATACTCTCTCATTTGGGAACGTATAAAAATATCAATAAACTTATTTACACCTTTTCAGGTCTATTCTTCACATACTTTTTCTTTAATTCGACATCAAATTATCATTCCCATATTGACACTATATAAACCCGTTGTAGGTTTCCATTACAATAACATACTGTCAATGTACTTCAAGTTTACGAAAAATTGAGCAGTTTGGACACGTGGAAATGTACCTAAAACACTGCGTTGGGATCTATTGAGTAACGCTGTAACCACTAGACTGCCCCACCGCCCCGACATTTTATATCTGCAAACGGTACTTTGTGTTCTTGAATAACCTGCAGTTTGTAATCTGCGCCAGAATCGGAGTATTTCAATTCTTAGCTTTGTTTGTACGGAGGTCTAGCCCATATCACCACGGGCAGCCTAAATTGGGTTTTTCATGCCAACTGCTAAGTAAAATCTACAGGCTCGATTCTGTACAGCATTGATACAATTGAATTCTTTAGTGCCCCAAATTGCCGACCCATATGATAAGACAGGCTCAACGAGATTCTCATACAAAGAATTAAAAACATTATAAACAAAACCACCCGCTGCTCTGAATATTATATAACACTATAATAATTATAACACTAAGTGTTCTATTTGCAAATTTAGCTGATTCCCTTAGGTAAAATTTAAATCTTAATCTTCTTGCAACGAGACACCTTAGTATTTATAAGCGTGGGCATTCATTGAAGATAAATAGCTCTAAAATAATCTGTACACGCTACTAAATAAAATTCACTCTATTATAACAATGTTTTTAGCAGAAATTACCCTATTCATAGATCTATCTACTCCCGACTTGGATTACGCTTCCCGGTAATTATTCAACGTAACCTTTATGTGATATTTGGGATTACACTTTCTAGTAAAGTACAGATTCTAGTACTTTTGCTAGGTTTATTCGGGATTCGAACCCACACCCTCAGAGTCAGGCACCTAATCGCCAGCACACAAAGCCGCCTAACCCGCTCATCCACCGTGACTTCCACATCCCGGACGGGACTCAACCAAACAAAAGTACTAGAATATCTCCTTTACTAAGAAAGTGTAATCCCAAATATAACATAGGTTACATTTGACCACTTTCTAAATGGCATTGTATAATCAATTATTCACCGTATCTTTAGCATTGGCGGTATTCCCCTACTCCCTGGGATATCCGAAATATATATTTTAGCCTTCGTGGCACGACAGCGATGAGTCAGTGAGTGAGTTGAGTTTTACACCGCACTCAGCAATATTCCAGCTATATGGCGGCGGTCTGTAAATAATCGGGTCTGGGCCAGGTAACCCAGTGATCAACAGCATGAGCATCGATCTGCGCAAATGTGAACCGATGATATGTGTCAATCAAGTAAGCGAGCCTGACCAACCGATCCCATTAGTCGCCTCTTACGACAAGCATGGGTTACTGAAGGCCAATATTTTAACCCGGACCTTCACGGGTGACGGCAGCGATGAGAACAGGTATGACACACATACACTCTGCTGCAGTGATTAAAGCTCGGAAACTACGTCTCGCCTCGGTGGATGATGAAGACCGGTTATCCTCTAGCCTTCATATTTTGTATTTACTTCTACTGGGTTGATGTAACTGTTGGTGGGCTGACGTCCTCTTATGTCCATGTGAATCGGTGTATCGGTTGGATACTGGAGACTGGTTATTGTCTGGTGTTGGCTTAAATTATCTGTTTTGTTTTATTTGACGTCTGGACCAACCTTTGAAAATGTTAAATTACTACGCCCGTATATGGCAAAAGATAGCTTTCTGACCATTTTAATGTTTGGACATATATGTTTTACCTATAGTGTTATGTAATTTCTTGATGTAATAACTTATTAGATTTGAAGCGGATGATAAAGGTGACCTGGATCATTAGGAGCCACGATATCTTAACAGTTTCTTGATTCACTGCTAGTTTCTACCGTATTGCTGACAGGCATTAAAGAACGTTCAGTCATCCCATCACTTGTTCTCGGAAATACTTACATGAAACCAGAAGAGGTCGTCGTGTCAGGCCAACAACGTGTACACTGCTTCCATAATCTGAAAGGTGAGAGTCAAATGTCTGAAAATATTTAGGTAGTGTCTGGTATGAAACACTTTGCACTGTTCACCAGTGGACGTAAATTGACTGACTGACTGAGTTTGGTTTTACGCCGTTTTAGCAATATTCCAGCCACATCACGGCGGGCAACACAAGGAATGGGCTTCACACATTGTACCCATGTGGGGATTCGAACCCGGGTCTTCGGCGTGACGGGCCAACGCTTTAACCATTAGGTTACCCAACCGCCCCGGACGTAAATAGAATTTGTTTTGGGACTAGATAATAATCACGATATATTTCATATAAATTATTATGTATATGACATGCGCACTATTCTCCAGCAAATCGAATCATTCATTATATTGTCTCAACAATATTTTGTCTGTTTCCTTGCAAATACAAGAAAACCTAACCACAACCAAAACAAATCTCTGCTGCAAGCTGTATCTGATTTACGATTCTGAATATATCATAAGTATAGTGGGGCGGATGTTCTATCTGTTACCCTTTAAAATATGACGTAACGACTTTACTAACATCACAAACTTTCCCTATCAAGTTTAAAGCAAACGAATTTATTGATGTGAAAGTATATATGTTAACATGCAATGCATAAAACAATTGGTCGTCATCTGCAACGGACCGAAATGTATATTACAAATTGAACAATGTAGACGTTTAACACAAAAATACTGCAATACATCGTATTTTACTACACGTACCCTTATAATTTTATCTTCATATATGTGTCACATGTCACCCATTCAATCTTTGACGTTAGGACACGGCTCTCTTTTTCCAGCAATTATATATATCCCAGCAAAGTACAGCATTCTCTTATCGAGAACATACTACTAGAATTGCCTTACGAGCACCCCCTACTAAGGCTGTTTATTACCTACCCCTCGATGATGACTCACTACAGACGTATCAAAGAACAGGGTCTTCTTTAACTGTGTTAGTTTTGTATGTATACATTAAACGTTGAAAACTCCAATAAGAACAAAAATAATTCGCAATACAGTTTGAAAGCACACAAACCTTTTTCCAGACAGTCATTGTTTGCATTCAGTTCCATGAGTTGCTGTTCGTCTTCTCTGATGATCTACAAGATAAAAGATAACAGGTTTCACAGGATTACATAAGATCCGTTGATGGAGAGAAAGAGAGAGAGAGAGAGAGAGAGAGAGAGAGAGAGAAAGTGAGAGAGAGAAAGAGGGAGAGAAAGAAAGTGAGGGAGAGAAAGAAAGTGAGGGAGAGAAAGAAATTGAGAGAGAAAGAAAGTGAGGAAGAGAGAGAGTGAGAGAGAGAGAGAGCGTGGAAGAGAGAGAACGTGAGGGAGAGAGCCTGAGAGAGAGAAAGAGAGAAACTTTAGGAAGTGAGTGAGTTCGGTTAAGTACAGGTACACACGCGTACAAACACATGCACACACTCCCTCTCCCTCTCTCCCGCACACGCACATTATCACACACACACACACACACACACACACTTTTACGTGCACGCACACACACATACACAACGACACATACTAACATACACAGGGAAAAGCTGAGGAAGAATATTTAATGTCTGTTTCACTACAAACGCTCATATGCCAAAGACACTCCAAGTGTGGCCATTGGTTCTATCCCATTAAGACTACGCCCCAGAATGACTACATCCCAACTTGACTGCAGTAGAAATACACAGCCTTATTAGGTACCCTATGTACTAATGGAATCGTCAAACTAGTGACTATTGGTTTAATGAGTTACACGTAAAATTTACTGTTTTAACTGATGCCAGATCGTCGCCGAGAGAGAGAGAGAGAGAGAGAGAGAGAGAGAGAGAGAGAGAGAGAGAGAGAGAGAGAGAGAGAGAGAGAGAGAGAGAGAGAGAGAGAGAGACGTCAAACTAGTGACTATTGGTTTAATGAGTTACATTGAGTAGCCATCTGTTTATACTAGAATTTTACTGTTTTGCCTGAAGCCAGATCGTCGCCGTGCAACCTTCAGGCGCCTGTTTCAAAAGCTGAATATGTTAAATATTATATTTTATGTCCGTTTCATTACACACACGTTCACGCGTCAAGGCGCCAAAGGAGTGGCCATTTACTGGCAAACAAGGATAAGTTGGATCGTCGCAGAGAACGCGTTTACGAGAAGTAGGCGGTGCACGGCAATGAGCAAACCCATTTGGCTAGTGCACGTGCAGCGCATGACGATGAAATTGTTTCGCGCCACTGTCGAACTCGGAGTTCGCTGACAGGCCACGCGCTTCACCCATCGCACTACACTTGATCGCGGACAACCTGGGTCCCCTTCGCTCACAATGGCAAGCCCCAGCGGGCGGCACTCATACATGCTAATACGGGTCAATTGTCAGGTCGGCGCTCAACTTATCCTTGTTTGCCCGTGGTTATTCTCGTAAGGACATTTTCAGTAGTAGGTCAAAAATAGAAAAGGGATATGAATTATTCCATATATCTTAGTCCCTGCTATTTACCTTCATTGTAATGGCACACAGGTGTTTCTCTGTCAGTCGACCCTGCTGGAATTGTCTGAGCTGGTTCATCAGACCTGGAGCTCTTGTGTGTCTTTGTTCTGCTAATTGCAGACAAAAAACAAAAAGATGTATTTAGGGTCACATATTTATCAGACTCGTGTAATTGTCCAAAGCACACTGGGTATGTTGCAAAGTTCCTGATGTACGAAAACTTTAGTTGGATATACTATATTGATGGGCAAAAGAAACTTTCTGTTGCAAAATCTTTTATAAGATTAACATAAGAAAATATAATTAAATGCCAATTGCCCCATTGTTATTGCCAACAACAAGAGTTCGATTTTGAGGTGAGGTGAGGTGAAATTGGGTTTAACGTCGTGCTTGAGAATATTTCGCTCATATGACGACGTGCATGCGTGTGTATGTGTATGTGCGGCTGCTTGTACTAGCCCAGACTTAAGCTGGTTTTATAGTGCTAGCCCACTGAGATACCATGCCGCAGTGAAACATGAATACCCCACTCAGACACAGTATACTGACTCCGAGCCGACCAGTCCTTGTTGTACCCATTAATGCCGCGCGCCAGGCAGGGACCAACAAGTACCATATTTTAACGTCTTTTGGTATGACGCGGTCGGGGATCGAACCCACGACCTTCCGCTCTCCGGGCGGACGCTCTAACCACTACACCACGGAGGCGGTCTCGATTTTGACGAACAGCAGCGCTCAAACGCACCTCTTGACAACTTTGCATAGTAAGGGTAAAATGCACGTTCATGCATGGTATAAAACCACCTCACAGTATAGAGCAGGTCGTACTTCAGCAGTATACCACTTTACAATGCCGAGGTTAACTTCAGCAGAGCGAGAGAGGGCCATCAGAATGCTGCAAATGGGCGCTAAAATGTGTCACCAATAACAGTACAGCAAATGACGCAAGCCCTTGTCGAAGAGTGGAGGCGTATCCCAGCTGACGTCATCAGACGCCTCACAACTTTAGTCAGAAGACGTGTGTTTGCATGTATTCTAGCCAAAGGTGGACATTCTCGCTATTAGAGACTTGTGCTCACGCTTTGCTGTGTTTCTCGAATGGGCCCACCGATAAGTGAATTCTCTAGCTTGACCCCTTGTCGACCATAACCTGTTCAATATCTTATCAGCCCTGTTAAAAATCGAACGTTTGTACTTAGCACGTGCCCATGTCATTGCTTCACAAATTATAACTTGCAAACTTCAATTTCTTCTTCTTGTTTTTTAGTGAGATGAAATTGAACGAGGAGAAAGTTTCTTTTGTCCGTTAGTATATAATAGATAGCCTTATGGAGTTGCTGCTAGAGTAGCTGAATGTACTAGTGCGACAGGCTGATGATTTACCTCCATCGTTGTCAGATTGTGATGCTGTTGAACGGGAGATCTGTATGAAAAGACACTTTTTAAATGTGTAGACAATTAAGTGTTTTAGCAACAGCAAAATCATTTATTTGTTGTCAGAGGTTTTAAATGTTTCATTCGATATTTTGCAACCTTTGCTTAGTACAGCCTTAAACGACCGGAGCAAGTTCCTTGGAACATTTCGAAACAGGAATCAACAGAGGGATCGTTTAGGTGTTTATTTTACACTTTCGTCCACTTACATACTATGGTTATCTTACAATACTGCATAGACATGATTACACGGGATCACGGGGCAGTGTACATCCATCTCTATTGACTACTATTAAGTGTGTATTTCTACCAGTTGATACAGGAGAAACATGGTAATGATGTTAATGAAGTGACTGGCATGATGTAAGAGTCAACTGGAATTCTGAAGCAATTGTAAGATAAATCCTGATAGAGCTTTAAACATCAGCAGGGAGTTTCTGCTGGAGGTGGATAGGCGTGGAGCTGCATTTCGTTTCATGTTCTGATCATAATATACACTACTACAAAGGAATGATATTCCTTGGAACCAGTCAATCTATGACAAGAACGTATGTTAATCTCCCGAGACAAGATAATGTAGTGTATATACAGAATCAAGCTTGTTATACTTACGTGAAGTCTTTGCTCTTTCCCTTTCGAAGTCCCTGTCTGTTTCCCAGCCCCACCACGACCTGGTGTGGATACTGCTGATGTTCCTGGCACTCCAGTTGCACGTCGAGGGATGGTTGATTCATGCCTGTCTGGTGTACTCTGAAACTGTTGTTAAAACTTTAGACGAGTGTGTACCTGCCTTCAAATTATCCTGGGAAACAGATGTAATGTTCATGTCACGATTATCACACTCACGAGCTTGCTCTTTTGTCAAATGACTAAATATACACACTTTAATATTTTCAGAAAAAATAGTAATATTGTAATAACATTTTCCGCTGCAATTGGTAATGATGAGGAAAAAACACAATGTAAAACATAACCATGGAGACATCTCACTGTAGGCTATACTCACGACTCCAAACCTTGGTATCTCCATGTCTAACAACGATAAGACGGTCGCGTGTCTCGCCAGGTACCCCATCACAGCCTGCCACTCCACTGATGAACAAAATTGTGTTATACATCATATGTGATACATCGCGTAATATACCAGTAGTAGTAGGAGAAGCAGTTGTTGTAGAAATAGTGTTTTTGTACAGAGCATGAGAATACAAGTTTGTTAAATGCAGAACAATTTCAGGAAACCGATTACATACCCGTGTATAATTCGTGGAGTTGTCTTTTTCTATGGTCCCTGTCCTGAAACAAAAAGTGCCAGTAAGACAATATGTCTGTCTACTATCAAGGGATGTCAGGATCTTTACAATTACATAATGCTTATTAATGTTTTATCCATACATTATGCATTCCTTTGTTCGTTAATCTGTAGTAATAAGCAGTTACACATGTCTTTCAATCTGTTATAAATGATATGATAAATATGTTGTGAAAAGTTACCTTCAGACAACTGTTCAGATCTTGATTAACCTTTTCGATCTCGCTTCTACCTGCAGACAGAGATATAGACTACTGGTATATTTAGCATATTCAAGGCAATCTTTCAATACGTCATAGAATTTATACACTGCATCGAAAGTTGCAGACACGTACAACATAACGCAGTTTGTTACAAAAGTGAAATATTGAAACACAGTCTTTTATCTTAACACATTTAATACAATAATGTTTACTTATTGTACTATTTGTGCACTGACGAAAACTATATATACCGGACAAACAGAATTTACCTCAAGTAACCTCATCTGCAGGTACTTACGACTCTCCAGATCTTTTGCATCTGTGTTCTGCACCTCAGTTTCCAAATCATTTATCTGGCTACCTTCCTTCCGTACAGACTGAAATATATACAACAATGTGATCTGTGACTGGTTCTGTATTCTGCGGTATTAGTTAATATGACAGCTTTCTATAATTCTTATCTTGACAGACTACAGTTAAAGATAACATAATCTTAGGAATCAAAACAAAAATATTAAATATAAAATGAAGGTCGTTAGGCTGCAACCCCACTAGGAAGGTAAGGTTCTAGTAAGGTACGTACTGGGATCTCAGATTCCTTTCTTGCATTCTCTGGCTCAATGTGGAACATCTCTAGAACAAAAACAAAGATGGTGTTGAAACTTCATTCGTGTTTGAGAGAAAGTGAATTAAGAGCAAGGTACTGCTATGATAAATCCATTTGGAATCCTGCTCCTAAGAAACACAAACACAACTTGCCACTTACCCATTTGTTGTTGAATGTCAGGACTTTGAACATGGCCAATCTAGAAAAGAAATGAAAGGTTACCTCCCTTGATCTTGAAGTAATACGTGGAATCCCATGCAACCGATTACGACAACTGGCACAACAAATCTCTAAATTTCGTAATATAATCTTAAGAATACCCCCGAGGGCTATACTATTGTGTGTCGCAACTTACCATCGCAACTATATGTTTTGAACCTGTAGATTCTGCATGTGTCTTTATCTCCAAAGCTAAAACATCAAAAGTACAAACAGAAAATACAATTAAGACTCAGATATTGTGAACATGTTTTACAGCTGCTGTATTACACACTGCTTTGAAATATATCAATATTTGAACTCTCATTTCCTTCGGTACAATTTATAATAGGTAGATATATAACTAGATACATACTTGAGGAAAGGAAAGATGAAGGGCAGGTGCACGAAGATGACAGAGACAGAATGAGAGATGGTTAACATGGAGGTGAGGCACAGAATGGGGTAGTTGGAGAGCGGATAGAGAAGAAAAAGCACACGTATACTAGAAAACTGAAGCGTGGATGAAGAACTGAATGAAGAGATGAAGGTTAGATAAAGTTAAAGTGTCATAAGAGATACTATACGTTGGATTGATGGACAAGATAAAAAGAGTGGAAGTTGGACAGATGAAATGACAGAGGGACAGTATGATGAGTTTTTTGTGTTATCAACACAACAAACCTTCTCTCAAGAGAACATTTTTAACGTCTTGATAGAACTGATCCGTTTTCTCTTGGATTATGACCTGAAAAGAAATATATAGATTACTCACAATGGGTCTTTCATCTTCAGGCCTTGATGTCAGTCACTACTTTGTTTGCGATTCATACACAAGCTCTCTACAATTTCTTACCGATCTGAGAAGCGGGGCAAGATTTTTCCTTTGTCTTAGTCCGTCATGTAAGTCTGACAACCAAGCCTCTTGTGTAACAGACAGTTGCTTGAAACCACCAAAAGCTGAAATGAATAAGAGTAAATAAGTAACAAATTATCACATACATCTAAAATAATCGTTCCAGATGTGACCACAGCTACTCACATGCATACTGACCTTTGCTTGCTGTGAGGAGACTTGGCTTGTATTCCAGAGTATGGCGTACTTCTTGAGCCTGCAATGTGTCAAAGTGGTATAAATACACAATCACTATTTGGTATACGTTATCACGCAGACATGTCTTTGTTAATATGTGTGCGTTATGCCCATGTCTTGGGACAGAGTTGTAAATGTAGAGTAACAATGTACAGTAAGCTGCGTTTATGACCAACACGTTAAGAACGAATTAATGGGTATAATGAACACCTTTAGAAGGAACTAACGGGTATAACGAACTTAAGGATATAATGAACAAACGGGTACAACGAACTGATTCGGTGGTTCCGGATGTTTTACTCGAAATACAGACAGGAAATTACGGACTGAATGAACTAAAATAACTGGTCCCTTTAAGTTCTTTATAACTGTATGTTATTGTAAATGAACAAGATTTGTTCCCACCACCTCTTAAGATGACACCCGTAAACAAGACAACATACGGTTATATGTACAATATAACAGAGCCATAAAATGTCAACACATCCAAAGGGAACTTACATAGGGCATAGGTCCTGTTGAACCCAGCTTGAAACTAAGTATTTTCAGCACACTGAAGTCCCTGAGGAGTTCTTCAATCCGTTCCTTCCAGGATTCTGAAATGTTGTTAAAATAGAAGTATAATAATCATCACCCTAAACTAACTCATGCATGCATAATTTGTACAAAAGTCTTACTATTATATTTGTTGAGTTTGTTATTTCCACAAGATCAGTTATTCATATCACCATAAGATGACGAATGAAAGACACTTACCATCAGATAATGCATCTATTTGTTTCTCCATCCCTTCGATTTCCTTTACAAATAGAATAAATGTAAGCTGTTTATAATAGATAACTCAAGATCTGGAACAATACTATGCTAAAACTTTACATTGAGGGAACCTTTTAACCTTGCATTCAATCCAATTCCACAGCCATGTGACAAAACGTTCGATTTCCTGATAGCGAGTAGCTCTTTGGGATGGAATTGACATTGCTCAACAGAACTCTGGTTTGGATGGAAGCTAACATGTGGATTAGTGATCGTGAAGGTGAATCTCTGGGTGGAACCACATTAGCCATTCCTGACCCATATGCAAACTCATGAAAAGTATTTGTACATATGTGTTTAATTGTTTGTGTTGTAAGAAACATCTCTAAATCCTGACATGAGGATCTCATCATTACAGAAGTATACGTTACCATTTCTGCGTCAAATATTTGGGACTTCAGTTCCTTGATACCAGTTAGATCTGAAGTGAAGAAAATCCAAGTCTTCAACAAACTAAAATGATTGTTTTACATCACCAGTACATAACCATTACATGTTAATCCAGTGCTGTTTGTTCTCGTTCTCTCCCGCGTCTATCAAAAATCCTCCTTTCTGACCTGACACGGTAGTGTGTGTAACAAAGAAAGTTTTGTATTTTATTACAATGTACTGAGCATTGTGTATTCAGAGTTCTACGAATGTGTAAATATACTCACAGGTTGTAAACCGCCAATTGTGGCCGCTTGTTTGTTCCATGACTGTGTTGGTTTCATCGACTATTTCTGGCTCCAGTGGTTGGGACTTCAGTTCTTTTACAGCAGCTGGATCTGAAGTGAAGAAAGTCCAAGTCTTCAACAAACCGAAATGTTTGTTGCATACGAAATGATTGTTTTGCATCACCAGTACATAAGAACTACTGTGGATATTCTAACCCAGTGATGTTTGCTCTCGTTCTCTCTCGCATCTATAAAAAACACACTTTATGACCTGACATGGTAGTGTGTGTAACAAAGAAACAGTCTTGTATTTTATTACAATGTACTGAACATTGTATATTCAGAGTACTTCCAATATGAAAATATACTTACAGGTTGTAAACCGCCAATTGTGGCCGCTTGTTTGTTCCATGACTGTGTTGGTTTCATCGACTATATTCACACAAGAAGACATGTCCACCATACTGAGATCCTCTGCTGCTACAGCTGATGGGTACACCGACCTGAAACCAGGTTTGTATAAAACTTAAACACAGGTTTCAAGCAATCGTTCAAATGTTGAGGCATATTAAAGTAGAGGCTTTTTTCCTGAGGACACACTTACGAAATTCATATTTTGGGTTAGAACATTTGATTATTCGTGACTTGATACGACTACCAATGTTGCCAATGGCAACAACACCTAACTACATCCACTGACTTAATCAACAAACCTGAGCCTGTCCCTCTCCTGTCGTGACCTACATACAAGCAGAGTGTCCCCCAGTCTGTTCAGTCTCCTGGCCACCTCCAGCATCAGAGTCGTAGCTCCACTACCGGGCATACACTTCACCTCGACGTCCTTACTGTTGATGTTCTCCACCAGAATGATACATTGTTCTTTGGTGAGAAATCTCAAATAGTCGCCATCGGTGTCTCCTCTTTCTGCTTTCAGCACCGACTTCGTTTCAGCAACACCAGCCCAGAAAGCAGTCAGGACTTTTTCATACCTACTGGGAGTCATTACCAAAGAATCGTTTGTGACAAAATGAGAAGACTCATTTGCCAGCTTCTTCAATCGATTCTTAAATCCAACAGTGTCCTCAAGGAGAGAAATGGGAATGACTCCATGGATTGAGTTGACATCCTCATCAGTGAACCTGCTAAGTGTCTCTATCACTCCTCTCGCCACTGACAAACTGTATGTCACTGCTTCAGGACAGTCTTCATTCCCATCAACCAGTGACAAAACTATCACAGACTGTGTAGGCAGAGCCAGGAATACATCACATACCGCGTTGCTTGGACGGGGCGATGTGTAGAAATCTAACGCAACTGCTAAAGAATGAGATAAGAACATAAAGCATGGTCCAGTCTTTGGGTTTGGGAGATCTACTACTTCATTGGTGAGATGATCAAAAACAAAGTCGTATGCATGATTTTCTATGTGTTCCAAGAGTCGTTCTTTCACTTGTGCTAAAGGGGTCCTCAGTTTTGTTGGTGCAATACTCTGGCCATCTGAAAAAACAACCAAATTATACATCTCGATGAAAGTATGTTCGTTACACATAGAATGGCCATGTGCCAATTTTGTGACACTGCTTAGACACGAGTATAACAGAAAAGAATCGTAATGGGATAGGAATTCTTCACTTGGGCAAGCCAGATATGGAAGCTGATGTAATTGTGTATTTGGAGGGTACTGGGGAAGCCTTTTCGGGGTGCAGTACGTCTAAGATAATCAGAATATCTGATTCAAATCCATTTGCAACATGAACAAGACATTGCTACATGATTTATGGTTTGCTTCAACTATTGAAGACAATCCCAGAGTCTACGTCAACTATCTACTAAGTTTTACAGTGGTTTAGTTACCCTTTTCAATAAAGTAACTTCTGATTTCAAAGAGGCTGTTTCCAATCTGTTTCAGGTCAGGACGAAAGATGTCATTTGTCCCAAGATAAAGATCCTGCTCGTCCTCCTCTGTGGTATTTTGCTGCAACATAAAGTAAAGGTTATACATGTAAATGAAACAGAGGGAAACAGTATTATTGATGACCGAGACGTTCAACAGCTTTCATCGCTTTAGGGAAACATTAATGGACTTGTGATTGTCTTTTATTTATGAATATAAGATGGTGTTTGTCTTTAGCAGTTTTATAGATAAACGTTGTATTAAATATATATGCTGGTAAACTATGTTCAAATACATATAAAGATGTTGTGCAAATGCTTCAAAAGAAGTAGACATGGACGCTTTTACATGATATGGTGTGGATCTCAATGCCTATGCATGTGGCTATTCTTGACCCCGATGCAAACTCATGAAAAAAATTGTACTTGTCCTAAAGGCAGAAACCACCACTTTCATATACGTTTGAAAACGATTACTTGACACTGTCAAAATAATGAAATAAATGTGTGTAAACTGTTTATGTGGTAAGAAGCATCTCTAAACCATGACACGAGGAGCTATCATTACAGAAGTGTACATTACCATTTCTACCTCCAACAGTTGGGACTTCAGTTCTTTTACAGCAGTTGGATCTGAAGTGAAGAAAGTCAAGTCTTCAACAAACCGAAATGTTTGTTGCATACGAAATGATTGTTTTGCATCACCAGTACATAAGAACTACTGTGGATATTCTAACCCAGTGATGTTTGCTCTCGTTCTCTCTCGCATCTATAAAAAACACACTTTATGACCTGACATGGTAGTGTGTGTAACAAAGAAACAGTCTTGTATTTTATTACAATGTACTGAACATTGTATATTCAGAGTACTTCCAATATGAAAATATACTTACAGGTTGTAAACCGCCAATTGTGGCCGCTTGTTTGTTCCATGACTGTGTTGGTTTCATCGACTATATTCACACAAGAAGACATGTCCACCATACTGAGATCCTCTGCTGCTACAGCTGATGGGTACACCGACCTGAAACCAGGTTTGTATAAAACTTAAACACAGGTTTCAAGCAATCGTTCAAATGTTGAGGCATATTAAAGTAGAGGCTCTTCCTGAGGACACACTTACGAATTCATATTTTGGGTTAGAACATTTGATTATTCGTGGCTGGGTACGACTACCAATGTTGCCAATGGCAACAACACCTAACTACATCCACTGACTTAATCAACAAACCTGAGCCTGTCCCTCTCCTGTCGTGACCTACATACAAGCAGAGTGTCCCCCAGTCTGTTCAGTCTCCTGGCCACCTCCAGCATCAGAGTCGTAGCTCCACTACCGGGCATACACTTCACCTCGACGTCCTTACTGTTGATGTTCTCCACCAGAATGATACATTGTTCTTTGGTGAGAAATCTCAGATAGTCGCCATCGGTGTCTCCACTTTCTGCTTTCAGCACCGACTTCGTTTCAGCAACACCAGCCCAGAAAGCAGTCAGGACTTTCTCATACCTACTGGGAGTCATTACCAAAGAATCGTTTGTGACAAAATGAGAAGACTCATTTGCCAGCTTCTTCAATCGATTCTTAAATCCAACAGTGTCCTCAAGGAGAGAAATGGGAATGACTCCATGGATTGAGTTGACATCCTCATCAGTGAACCTGCTAAGTGTCTCTATCACTCCTCTCGCCACTGACATACTGTATGTCACTGCTTCAGGACAGTCTTCATTCCCATCAACCAGTGACAAAACTATCACAGACTGTGTAGGCAGAGCCAGGAATACATCACATACCGCGTTGCTTGGACGGGGCGATGTGTAGAAATCTAAGGTAACTGCTAAAGAATGAGATAAGAACATAAAGCATGGTCCAGTCTTTGGGTTTGGGAGATCTACTACTTCATTGGTGAGATGATCAAAAACAAAGTCGTATGCATGATTTTCTATGTGTTCCAAGAGTCGTTCTTTCACTTGTGCTAAAGGGGTCCTCAGTTTTGTTGGTGCAATACTCTGGCCATCTGAAAAAACAACCAAATTATACATCTCGATGAAAGTATGTTCGTTACACATAGAATGGCCATGTGCCAATTTTGTGACACTGCTTAGACACGAGTATAACAGAAAAGAATCGTAATGGGATAGGAATTCTTCACTTGGGCAAGCCAGATATGGAAGCTGATGTAATTGTGTATTTGGAGGGTACTGGGGAAGCCTTTTCGGGGTGCAATACGTCTAAGATAATCAGAATATCTGATTCAAATCCATTTGCAACATAAGCAAGACATTGCTACATGATTTATGGTTTGTTTCAACTATTGAAGACAATCCCAGAGTCTACGTCTACGATCTACTAAGTTTTACAGTGGTTTAGTTACCCTTTTCAATAAAGTAACTTCTGATTTCAAAGAGACTGTTTCTAATCTGTTTCAGGTCAGGACGAAAGATGTCATTTGTCCCAAGATAAAGATCCTGCTCGTCCTCCTCTGTGGTATTTTGCTGCAACATAAAGTAAAGGTTATAAATGTTAAATGAAACAGAGTCAACAGTATTATTGATGACCGAGACGTTCAACAGCTTTCTTCGCTTAAGGGAAACATTAATGGAGTTGTGATTGTCACTTACTGATGTATATGAGATGGTGTTTGTTTTGAACAGCTTTAAATAGTCATTGTACCGATTATATATGCACTTACCAGAAGCTTCCACATCCTGCCTGCAATAATGAAAAGACGAGACATTAACAATATTGTAAAAATAAATTCCACCAACCAGTACTATACTACGTTCTCAGTAAGGATTACTCGAATATAACATTAGATTATGTAGTGAGGCACATTTCATTCACCTTTTCGCAAACACCTGATGTCATCTGTAACTGATAATGATTCAGAAACACACGCTCATGATAAAGTCAGATACATACAGCTTTTGTCGGAGATTTCTTAATGAAAACGGCAAGGGTTTTGACATTTTACTTTTATAAAAGGATCGATATGTTGTCAGTGTGTGTAGACGTATTTCACCTTAGTTTGTAAAGATTATCAAGGACCAAATCTGGTTTATATTAAGGTATGATAACAGTTGAAATATAGTTATGAGAATATGCATTATATCGAGGAAAAGATGTAAAGGAAACAAACATACAATTAGAATTCAATTAATACCAAATCTTCATGTGTCTGGAAAACGTTCGGTTCTTTTGACGTTATTTTCGTCATATGCCTTACAGCTGCACGATAACATACAATACAAGTCATACTATGTACAAATTTGATTAACAATTCCGTAATTACGTAGAAATGCACAAGATGTAGTGCGAATTTGTGAGTGAGAGGCATGTCTGAAATTTGAGATTGTATGGCTGATTATACCATACAAGCAGGTTTCACCAAAGCTATCACCGGACATCACGCTTATAAGCCAGGTTTTTGGAAACTTATATCCAGCGAGGCTCACGCTTGAAAGCCAGGTTTTGGGGAGCTTATATCCAGCGAGGCTCACGCTTGTAAGCCAGGTTTAATGGAACTCATATCCAGCGAGGCTCACGCTTGAAAGCCATGTTTCATGGAACTTATATCCAGCGAGGCTCACGCTTGAAAGCCATGTTTTATGGAACTCATATCCAGCGAGGCTCACGCTTGTAAGCCATGTTTTATGGATCTTATATCCAGCGAGGCTCACGCTTATATATGTACACCAGGTTTTATGGAAACTGACCCCCTTCTGCTAATTTTTAAGCATAATAATTTATTATTTCTTATGTACAAAGTTGCTGACGCCTACTGAGTACATGTGTACACAATTGATGAACCCTACCTCCCGCATTAAAACCATCAACATCCCCCAGCCATAAATCATGAACGGTCCCTTACTCTTAGAAGTAAAACTTGTAATAAATAATATCGTTAAGGTTAAAGCATCCGTTTATGTATAGCTATGAAATTGTGATGGTACCAGCATATGCTTCCTCTCAAGCGGCACCCGTCATAAATACACGGAAAGGCTGGTCAATTGTTCACTCTAATGAACAAGGGAACGTGTGACAACTCAAAATAGAAAATTACATTGCACATAATTTTTGTGAATAACGATATAATTTGGAAATGTCTTCCACATGTCCGCCATAAAACATTTCGAAAGGTCTACCGTGGAGAACAAAGGTGGGTTCGCTGCGAATTTTGGAATGTTGCAGGATGGTCGTGTAATAGTAACCCAGAAAATCATAATATATATTTATAAAACGCAGTGAATCAATTTTAGGGTGTGATCTTGACATTTTGGATGCAGCAGAAACCTACCTGGTGTGTAACGAAAAACTCAGGTTAGATGGTTACGTTTGGTATGGACACAATCGGACATCTCTAGACATTCGTGCAAAACATGGACCAGGAGGTGTCGGCGTTTTCGTTAAAGAGACTCTATTAACACCTTACAATATAACTGTTGTTAAAGAACCACTAAACTTTGATGTTTGACGACAGTATTTACATTTACAAACAATTCTTTACGCTGCGTTGTACACAAAGAACATTCTAAGAGATAATGCCATGAATTTTTCTCGAGAACAACCACAAGTACAAGGAACATCTGATCTTAAATTAATTCTGAATAAATCGTAATTAAGCGGAATTGTATTGTACCTTAGTTTTGTGTGAATAATGTTCAATTTCCTTGTACCAGACCAAAAGAGAGGCGGGGCGGCATTTATTTTACTTTCAATTTTCAACTTAAAACCTGCTAAAGAATCTATGTTTCTTTTTTCTATGGGAACATTGTTCCACATTCGTATAGTATATGGAGCAAAAAGATGATAAGGAAGTTTCAATCTCGTAAATGGAAGGGAGAAGTTTAAAGAGGTTATAAGATGATTTTTGTCCAACAGATGTAGGTAGTAATTCCTGAAGGTATGATGGTGCAATATTGTGAAGAATCTTATAAACTAAGAAAAGTTTCCTTTTTCTTCTACGTTCACTAGGGGTTTCCCAACCAGTTTTAAAATGCAAATGATCACGAGTAGTATATTTTGGAAGTCCTGTCACTATACGAGCTGCTTCTAACTGTAACTGTTCTAAGGAGTTAGTTTGATTAGCAGTACATCCATCCCATAATTCACACGCATATTCAAAATGAGGACGATTGAAAACAGTGTAGATCTTATTTAGCGCTGTACTTTTTAACAAACAAAAAACTTAAACTTTAACTTTCTGATGGAATTTATCATTTTGGAGGTTTTCTTTAAAATATCAGTTATGTGATGAGACCAGCCTCCATTTGAAGATAATGTTACACCAAGATGTTTATGAAAAGGTACAGTTTTAATGTTACAGCCGTCAAGATTTAAATTGTCTAGCTTGTCACTATCTCTGGTAGAGAACGATACAGAATCTGTCTTATCTGGGTTGTATTGAGTAACCAGTTCTTAGCCCAATCACTTAACGAGCTTAAATTTTCATTCATAGTTACTTGTAATGATTGCATTTTATTGGAAGGTGCACCGAGTGATGTGTCATCAGCAAACAATCTTGTTGCGCAACTTAATTCAACGGCTATTTCGATCACATACACAATGAAAAGGGACCCAAAACTGAACCATGTGGGACTCCGGCTGGTAGTGTTCTCGAATGAGAGAATGTGCCATTCACAAATCTGATTGAGTACGTTTGCTTATGTAAGTAGCAAGCCAAGTTAGTAAGTTACCCTTAACACATATATATCCAATTTCAATAAAAGGCCCTCTATGCTAGACACGATCCAAAGCTTTAGAAAGATCACAAAATACCATACAATAGTTTTCTTTGTTATCAAGCGATGTACATACATTGGGGTAAATTTCTATAAGTTGATGTACAGTAGAGTAGCCTCGCTGAAAACCAGCTTGGTATTTGTACAACAATTTGTTATCAAGAAAGTAGTTATTAAGATGTTGGAAAACAACCCTTTTAAATATTTTACTGACACAACTGATTAGTGATATCGGCATATAATTAGATACAATTGAATTGTCACCTTTCTTAAATAGCGGCATAGCATGGGCCTTTTCCCAAACATTTGGGGAAGTACTCGATCGAAGAGAAAGATTAAATAATAAACAAAGAACACTGCTTATAGACTTAACAGTTTTCTTAACAATTGATGACTAATTTTATCTGGTCCGGTTGCTTTCTTGGAAGGAATTGAATTAATGATATCAGAAATTTCTCTCACTGTTATAGTTTTCATATCAATTGATGCATCAGTCCTTTGACAAAACTTAGGAAGTTCTATGTATTCATTAAGATTTGAAATTGATTGAAAATATTCTTTGAGCTTGTCAGCTTTACCTAAATCAGAAAAAATAGATGGGCGCTCATCGTTACTGTTCTCTACTAAACATGGAATAGTTGAGCTGGAACCGGAAGATTTTACAATGTAAGGTAAAGCTTTCCAATAAGAAGATTTGTTTTCTACATACATTTCAAATAATAATTCATCCAAGTTTGAATAAAAATATTCTCTGGCATAAGTTTTCATGTTATTTTCTTTGTTACGTTGCTTTCTATATTTTGTAAAGTCAACATCCTTCCGTGTTCTTAAAGCTATTTTTCTGAATCTATCTCTTTTCCTGCTTTCTCTTCTTAGTTTTGAATCATACCAGATTTTATCATTGGGTCTGATGGTGACAACCCTTGTTGGGATGCACTGCTTTGTGATAAAACTAAAGTGTTCATAAAATAACTGACAAAATTCATTGATATCATCGCAATTATTAAACATGAAAAACCAGTGTTCTGAATCGATCAGTTGATTTAATTTTTCAAAATCACCTTTCTTATAACACCATACGTCTCTAGTATAAGCCACTTGTGCAGATATATGAGCATTGATGTTAACGTAGGTACCTTTATGATCACTAATGTTTCTACCGTAATCTATCACTCCACAGTCTATGACTTCAACATCATCGCTGACAATAACTGGATCTAATAAAGTAGTGACATGTTCTGTAACTCTAGTAGGTTCACGCATAATATTTCGCATATTTTTTCTATCCAGAATGTTATGGACAGCATGAGTCCTGGCAGACAACAGTAACAGTAACTGTACTCGATATGTCTAGAGCGGCTTCAATCGCGTTGTTAAGTCTACTGTTCTCTATTATATTCTGGTCTGTAGATTGCGCATATAATTCATGGTTTCTTGGGAAGAAATACTTCAATCCAGACGGATTCGTCGTTAATATTTTCTAGTCTTTTAAAATTAACATTGTTTCTAACATAAATCATAACACCACCACTAAAGCATTTCTATCCTTTCTAACGGGGTAATGAAAACCATCCCATTTTAGATTTTCATCAGATACAGATTCATCAAGGTGAGTTTCAGTCAAACATACAACATCATAATCTGACAACATTTCAGACAAATACCTTTGCGTGTGACGAAAACTTCTAACATTTAAGCGAAATATAGAGAGTGATTGATCTGGGCTTACATTGGGAGGTCCGGGATTGGACTTGATATCTCCGGCATAAAGTTATGTTACATTTTAGAGGGATTTGGATCGGGTAATCATAGCATAGAAAATGAACATTGACATATTTTGGAGAAGAACTGGATATTTACTACTTAACAATGAGGATGATTTTATCAGATTTGGATGGACATAGTAATATCTTATAATATATTTGGTTCGCAACCGGTCATAAAATGGACATATTAGGAGGAAGTGTAATT